CTGCATGACAGAATAAGACATTTCGTCTTATTCTCTCATCACTGAAACTAGGCAGCAATTTTGCTTCGCAGTGCCTTTATGGTGTCAGATGTTGCAAAGCGGCCATGAGAAGATTCCAAGAGGAAGAAGAAAGTCCAAAAACCAACACTGGCACTCCTACTTAAAAAGTTGCTAAGTGATTCTCATGCAACAAGCTTGATTTGCATGATACTGTATGTGGCTGAAGGCTCTTAAATGAGGCAATGAAGCCTTAAAACTGTCAAAAGCGCACTGAGCGTCTTGATAGCATTTCTTTCTTTATCGAGCTGGATTTTCGGCAATGATAGCAAAAAATAAAATAAAATACGGAGTTGACAGGACAAACAACACATTTCTGGTGTCACTATCTCTGATTACCTCGGTGGTGAGAAACAAGCATGGCTGTCGCACTCATTACAAAAAAACGAATGTAGTTATATTTTCAACTTGAATTTGTTTCAGTGCCGCTCAAAATATTTTGGGAGGGTCAATATCTCGATAAACAGCCTTCAGTGTCCTCATCGGAATCGTCATGAAAACGCAGAATAATGCAACTCGTGTGGCTGAGTATGAGAGGCCAAACATTTTCATCCGGATGTTGTCAAAAATGTTAACTGATCTTAAGCGCGTCTAGAAATTCGAGATATTCGTTCAACCGTACACAGTCAGCTAGCTAACTGAACCATGATGCTAAGCTAAGGTCCACCCAGTGCTCATAAAATGCTAGCATTAGCAAAAGACGTCGACTTTGTACATTGTGCAAAAAAAGAATGAAAAAACAAAGTGCAGAAGCTCGGCCAATATGAATTTCTAAGCGCATAACATCGACAATCAATATGAAGTTGAATGATGGTGACGTCTCAGTGACAGTGACTCTTGACGTCAATCGTCCGTGGTGCCAAAGGTGTTGGATGGAGGCGGCTGTGTTGAAACCTACACCACACATGGCTATTCTGCCAAGCAGCAGGTGTTTCCGTTGTGCTTTTGTTCTTTGGGTAATAACACGGTCTTCCCGGCGACAAAGCAACAATATGCTCTGGCAGCACACGGCTCCTTTCTATGTGGGCGTCATGCGGCCCGTTAACGCTCCCGAATGGCTCCAGCCGTGCTTGAATGTCACCTAGCTGGAGACACCGCTGCCCCGCTTTCTGTGTTACGAGGATCTATTTGGTGTAAAAAGGGGCCGCCCGAGGGGCCTCGCAAATCCCATCCTGCCCTCTTCATCTTTAAGAGCTCATCACCTTCATCAGCGACTCTCGCAAGGCTGCCCGCCGAGCCACAGGCCTCCTGTGAAGTCTCAACTTTATTTCCTCTTTCCCAGACAAATGTCAAGTATCCGGGTTTAGCGGGCGGGGAGGGGGGAGGGGACGCGCCCGCCACCTGTCTGCCGCCAGTGGCGCGGTGACAGCCAGATAAATGCGCGGCAACAACGCGGCTGGTTAGCACCGGGGGCGGCCAGTCAGAGAGCGGCGCGAGGCCGTGTGCCGCAGTCGGGATTTTAATCATCTCCTCTCCCCGGGAATGACACCGGCGCCGCACGGGGTAACAAAGATAGAGAGCGGCGGGAGTGGAGGAGGGAGAAATGGCACCCGGCAGACAAACAACAGCCTCGCCAACGTCGCAGAGTGGATTAGCGGCGGCGCTCGGTGACAACTATGTGAGCTTCCGGGCCAGCGGGAAAGAAATGTGGCTGCTTTTTATTATTTGTATTTTTACGATTCATGGCATCATTAAAAGCAGGCAGTAACTGCAACATGGCAAGATTATATTAAATTCATACAGAGGTGGCCAAGGGGCTCACGCAAAGACAATGTCCACTCCATTAAGCCCCTAGCCTAGCCCGGGGGTCGGCAACACGCGGCTCCAGAGCCGCATGCGGCTCTTTAGCGACATCTAGTGGCTCCCTGGAGCTTTATAAAAAAATGTTTGAAAATGGAAAAAGATTTTGATAGTAGGCTAATATAGCTCAAATAGATATAGATAAATGTTGCAGCTCCAAATAAGGAGAGCTGTGGTGTTGGTTTTTTAAAACGTACACTTTATTTATGCTTTCTCAACACAGACACGTCTGCGTCCCGACTCCGTGACTTCTCTCTTCTCGTTCGACTCGAGAGGCGTTCAAAGACTGCCTTCGAAAAACGGAAATTCATGATCACTTCACTGACACTAAGAAAAGCGAAAATAATGCACCAAAACAAAACAATCAAGCGAGGAAATCACAAAATAAATTCTATGGGGGCATTTGTGAACACACAACAAAGGAATAAATAACAAACAATTCTGAGACATCCAGTCTCCTACATACATACAGCACTCGTTTACTTCATTGTAAGTTTTATCGAAGGCTTTTATTTTTTTGCGGCTCCAGACATATTTATTTTTTGTTTTTTTTTTGTCCTATATGGCTCTTTCAACATTTTGGGTTGCCGACCCCTGGCCTAGCCTAACTTTGAGCACACCACACACTGTACGACGGAAACTTTGAAACGGCTCAATTTTTCTCTTCAAATGTGGGCTTTGTCGCAGGTCAACCATTTTTTTTTTAAAGATTTGAAGAATCCTTCCGTGTGAACCAGGCCTTAGATAATTTGGCTTTGTCGGGAAGGGGCAAAATCAGATCCATTATCTTTATGCGTCTGCCTGGCCGAAGGAAAAAAAAAATGGCGTATGTCGTAATTAAGCGACATCAATAACGTAATTAACCGTGCGACCGAGTAGCGTTCAAGTACAATTTTTTTATTTGAATGATAATGAACTATATCGTCCATGATATAAAAATTCTTATGTGGTGATTAGGGAGCCGAGAATGAGTGAACAAGAACGCGTTCACTCATTCCCTAATCACTACACGGGGATTTTTAACGGCCATTTTAGTAAACATCCACAGACACCCGTGAAGATACCGAACACAAGCGTGTGTGTGAGTGCGATGGCTTCGGAGGGGGGGGGGGGGGCATTCATTTGTCTCACTGCGGGCTGCAGCCTGAGTGTTAGTTGGTCGCGCCCGTTCATCCATCGCAGGTGTTATTACAATCCTGCCATTATCCGGATCCCGGCTTCGCCTCTCCTTGAGTCAAGTCGGCGCCCGGGAAAAGTTTGGCGCTCGTTTGAGTTGTTGAGCCCAGCATTACGGCTGTCTCGCAGCATCGAGGGCTTGATGGAGCCTTCCCGATGCAACTCGGTAAACAAGTTTCACAGGTGTGCGGCGGCGGCGCCGGTTCTGCTCCTTAATTGGCTGGCGAGATTCACAGTCGAGATAGAAAGCACACGCATACACAATGGCAGGATGGAGCGAACGCTTCCGCATGACAGAGATTCTTATTTCATAACAAAGGAGTTAATGAAGTCTCTGTGACAACATCCTACCGTGTATTATTTATAAAAACGACATGTTCAGGCCGTGCAAAAAACATCCGATTATTGCTTTATTGACCAACCTTACCCAGCTGCAAAATGAAAAGTCGACAGCTCACTCAAATCTTGCCAAGCAGATTTCGTTTTGGGTGACGTTAACGCAGCATGACGCAGATAGAAAATTTCACACTTGATGAAGCTGTTTATATTCCAGTGCAACGCTGCAACTGATAACATTTTTTTTTTCCTCCAGAAGGCCTCCATCCTGCCATTCTTGATGGGTTTGTCCCTCCTCCTTTGGCTCGAGTTAAATGGAGGATTCCATTTCATGTTTTGGGTGTAATGCTAACGGTCACCAAAATGGATTGAAATATAATTCAAGCTAGAATGAGCCAGCCCCAAATAGCACGACAAATAGACTGTGTTTGAATGGGGCGGCGGTATTGCAATCAATACATTTTTTTTTCTGCCAGTCGGGGACACGGACAGTATGAATCTCTTCCGAGCGCGAGCTTCATCAACTACGAGCCAAACTCTGTAAATTGGCCCGAATGATCTGAAAATGTCCGCTTCAAACCAAAGCGGCAGATGTCGTGGATCAACAGATGACCTAATTAAGACACAGAGAGAAGGCGGGAAGCTGGCAATTGGAGCTTTCACCGAATCCAGAGACCATTTCTACAGAGGACATGCGCCAAAGCATCTCGCAGAAGTCGCTACAATTCTTGGAACCTTTTGTCATCCATCAAAACAAGATGTGGACATTTCCTTAAAAGGGAAGCTCACATGAGAAACGTGTTCTCGCACAGCAAGATCAAATCTTCCTGAGTGTTAAAATGTTCTCTCTCATGTGCTTGGTTCACAATTGTTTATTTTACCATATATTTCTATCAGGACATTTTTGGGGTCAATGCCCCCCCCCCCCCTAGGATCTATCCTGGGTTGTTTCAGGCATGGCATCTTGAGGTATTGTGGATAAAATTTATGATCGACATGCCAACCAAAATCCATGAACCTGAGTGAAAGTGGCTTCAAATTTTTTTAACATTTTGTGAGTTTTTTTTTGTTTGTTTTTTTGTTTTTTTTCGTGCATCTATTCATGATTGACACTGTCTTCCAAATTCACATGGCGGATTTTTGGGAGTTTTTTTTTTTGTTTGTTTGTTTTCTGGGTTTTTTTGTGCATCTATTTGTGATTGACACTGTCATCCAAATTCACATAGCGGAGTTCAACTGGTTTGGGAGCTGTATTTTTAAAACACTCAGAGTGCGATTGATGATCTTTGCGGATCCCCGGAAACTGAAGTTAAACTGCTCACTTCAAGGCAAAATGACAAAATCACAGACGAGTGAATTTTCGGGGATGGCTTTTTCAAGCCGTTTTTTTTTTTTTTTTGTGCGTCTACTCATGACATGACAACCAGAATTCATACGGTTGATTTAAACTGGCTCCAGGTGCTGAATGAAAGGAAATATTTGGAGGCCACATAAGCGTCGACCTTTTTCTAGTCCTACTTCCGACACCGACCATTCGATTGCCGTGCAGCCTGAACGACTGAAACATGGCTCGGTACCAATTGGGATGTGCCCACTCTGGCAGGCAGGCACACAAAAAAAAAAGACCCTACCTGTCTTGGGTTCCACGGAGAAGTAGGGCTGCCCGTGCACGATGCTGTATACCACCCTGGCGCTGTTCCCGTACGTGGGGTCGTCGGCGTCCGTGGCTGCCACTTGCACCACCATCGTTCCTGAGGGGGCGGACAGGCCTTCATTAGTGACCACGGCAACCGTGGCGAAATTGTGCAAGCGGCGGCGGCGGCGAGCGCGTGACCGCTTGCACTCGAAAGCAGAGTGATATTGGCGGGAGAGAAACTTGCGAGGCGGTAAATAACGTCATTAGGTGTAATGCTGTCATTACTCGTTGCCGCTGCTATTTAGCTTCGTAAATGGCTTGTTATTTTCGGATGTAATGAAGAATAAGCTTTTCTGACACAACGTGCACTAAAACGCCCACTGCCGCCGCGTTTGTTTACAAGCTTAAGTGTAATTCCTTTCCGCTTCAACTTTCAATTCCCCTTGTCTCCATTGCCAGTCCCTTTTGCACCCCCGGAAAAACAAAACCAACCAAAAAAACGTGGAAGCCAGATGGAAAGTGTGACCCATCTGTCCATGTTAACGAGGACTTAAGCCTTGTTTGTCCAGGATGTTCCGGAACATTTACTCGTCGCCGCTCACGCGATGACGATTCATATTACGATGATGAACGCCAGTTGCACACTTCACTAGACCAAACCACACGTTAGTCTCCAATCAAATTAAGGTTTCAAGCCAGGGTTTCAAACATGGATTACAGTTTTAAAGTAGGAGTTCAAGCTAAACAGTGTATCAAACTCGAGGTTCAACAAAGATTCAAATGTTCGGGGTACCAAAATATGGTTTCAAGTCTGTATTCTGGTTTCAAACCTCTCCTTGAAACCTATCGAAAGCATCGTTTCCCGCCTGCTTTTTCTGCAGCCGGCCGACGGAATATTTCACTTGAATGAGGCGCACGTTTATATTGTAGCATATGACAGAAAAGCGCAGCCTTTTGGGAACCAAAGCCGCTCGTAAAAAAATGTGACACGAGGCGTGTTTTACGGGCTTTTACAGAATGAAGTGATCATGGAAATTGAAGATTAGAGTCTGCCGTGAGCCTCATAAAAAAAAAAAAAAAAAAAAAAGCACAATTAAAAGGCGTTGTCGTCCCTGCACGTTCGACACTGCCCGAGTGGCCGCCAGGAATTATGGGCGCGCCGGCCGGAGAAGGACGCCCAGATTATATCATCACCTCTTAGTCACGACAGCTTCTGTTACGGCCTGTTGAAAGTGTCAAGGTCAAAGAACCAGCGCGTGAAAGACAAGTCGAGCTGGGTGTAAATCTTCATGGTAGTGCCGTATTTAAAACACTCTTGGTGCCAGGATCCTCATCCCACTTGAGGATTTGTGGCGGGACGGGGCCCACCTCGGTTGAACTTTCCAATGTACTGCTGACATGTCCAAATTTCCAAATTAAAACAGAGAGGGGGGCTAGCAAAACGACATCAGATTGAGCGGGCTTTTGTAAACAGGTGTGTTTTGATTTGTGAAAGAGTCTCTTCCGAACTGGCAAAACGACATCAGATTGAGCGGGCTTTTGTAAACAAACAGGTATGTTTTGATTTGTGAAAGAGTCTCTTCCGAACTGCCATTGTTTTCCCACGACGTTCTTTGCGCAAAGCAGCATTAATACTCTGCCATGTGTGCGATCAGGGGCAAACGTCACTTAGCTGTCAAGACTTTGTGGGCAGCTTTGAGCTGGTAAGTAAGAAGCACAATATCCTTTGTGAAAAGGACGTCAAGATGGAAGAAATGACGGGTGCAATTGAAGAGCAATTAAAGGTGCTTTCAGCAGCCGCGGTTCATATTCTTTCTGGATTCGGCCTTCAGTCATTTGCAGCAACTGCTGGTAAGTAAGAAGCATAATATCCTTTGTGAAAAAGACGTCAAGATGGAGGAAATGACGGGTGCAATTGAAGAGCAATTAAAGGTGCTTTCAGCAGCCGCGGTTCATTCTTTCTGGATTCGGCCTTCAGTCATTTGCGGCAACTCGTTGAACTACTTCGCAGAATTTACAAGATCAAGCTGGTTCGCCAATCTAGCTAGCTAACCAGCTACTGTAGCGGCTTAGCACGTTAATCCAGTAAAATGGTTGATATTAGCTAAATTGCATATCTTATCCAATGCAGCTAGTTAGTGAGTGAACCTCTTTCTCTTTGAACTGGAATGTTGCAGTACAGCAGTAACGATATGCCGGTGACAGCTAGCTCGCGCGCTGAGGAGAATAGAGCTCCCAGCCTGGCCGACGGCATTTCAACATCTCGGCTGGGGGATGCCAGATAATGCCGTGATGGACGGAAACCGCTCTTTCTCCGACCACGATGTATTTGTCTCAATCAGAGGGCGGCCACGCAAGTAGCCGTAAATGCGAACACCCTGTAGGCGTCCCACGCTTCCAGTCTGATTCAGATGTTAGCATCGCTTGAACGGCCTCTCAAACATGCGTCACTCACTCATCAACAGCCGGCAGGCTGACGCTGGCATTTCAGGTGATGCATCTAAATCAAGCTACAAGGGGGCTGACACTATAACTAGCTCGGCTCGTATTAAAGATACCACAGGCCGCTGACCGAACATGACGTGTGGAGGCTAGCGGCGGAATAGCCACTCTCACCCTTGCCGTGTTTACCGCGCTTCTGCGAGGTTCACTGCCCTCGGGATGTTGTTGTTTTTATCTGGATTTACTCGCATTTGCGGCCTGAGCCGTCGCGGGAGATTTTGAAGCAAGCGAGCAAGAGGGCGGTGGCGAAAAAGAATTTGGGGTTAGGGGAGAGTGGGGGTTAGGGTGATGGAGTTAAGCAGCTTGGGTAATAGGGCGTGTTGGGACTTGGCTAGGAGTTAGGGTAACTGGATTTAGTGGGTAGGGTGGTAGGGAAATTAGGATTTAGCGCATAGGGATATTCACAGACACAGTATATAGTTCTCGCTCCATTTTGGGCGGGGTCACTGGTGTATTGTGTCTCTTCCTGACATTGTCGAAGAATCCGAGCGAGTGCTACTGGTGGAATGTGGACACCTTAAAATGTCATTGAAGGAGTTCAATTCATCCATGTTTGACCCTCTGCTCGATCCGCGGATAGCAGAACCACTCCAAATTCCAGCCGTTCGACGCATTCCACACTTTTAAATCGTAAATACAAATGAAAGCAAGCTCACCTAGCGGGGACATCTCAGGCACTCCAGCGAAGTAGGGCCCGTCAAGAAACTTGGGCTCATTATCGTTGATGTCCTGCACTTTGACCACAAATTCGGAGCGGGGCTCTACGGGCATGTTGCTGAGTCGGTCCACGGCTTGGGCCTGCAGCGTGTAGTAG